TTGGCTATTTTTTTTTTTTTTTTTTTTTTTTTTGGTTAATCCTCACTTGAGGATACATTTTCCATTGATTTAAGAGAGAGTGGAAGGGAGGGAGGAGAGAGACACACCGATTGGTTGCTCCTGCACACGCCCTGATGAGGGCTGGGGATCACACCGGAAACCCAGGTACGTACCCTTGACCAGATATCGAATCTGAGGCCCTTTAGTGTGTGGACCGACGCTCTAAACACTGAGCCACGCTGCCCAGGGCCTCAAAGGTGTGGTGACCAGTCACCTCTTTCCTGTTTCCTCTCAGAGAAGCCTTCTCTCGCCATGAAGGAAAGGCGTAACCCAGAGGCTCGGCCGCGCCGGGCGTGGTGATGTCACGTGTGGAGACAGTGTACTGTTCTGACAAGGGAGGTGGTGCTAGGCTGGGAGCACTGGGAACATGGAATGTGCCTTCCTTTGGGAGCAGCAATCCCTGTAGCTGTGGTTGGATTGAGGGAACTTTCTGGCAGCCAGCCTGCGTCCCCCATCCCTCCAGACCGGCCTGGGGCGAGGGCACCAGTGGGCTCTGCTCAGACTTGGGCTGAGCCTCCCCCCCAGCACTGCCCAGCCTGGCATCTGCTCAGTAAAGGGCGTGAGGAGATAAGTGCCGTCTCTTCCACACTCTCTCATTGTCCTGGTTCCCAACTCGCCCCCTTCTGCCCAGTGAATGGGCCCTGACTGCCCAGAGGTGGGAAGGGTGATAGGTATGAAGTCAGCCGTTACCAGAGCCTTCCAAGTGGAGTTGAACGTTTTTGTGGCTGAAGTCCTAAAAGCAAGTGAGCAACACAGGGTGAGAACCTGAAGATTAGGAGAAGCTGGTGCAGACACTGTCTCCCTGTGAACTTAGGTCCTCGCTCTGAGAATGGGGACGAACGAGTCCTTCTTGGGGGCCTGGCGGTGGCATGGAGTTCCCTGGTAGACTCTCCTGGCCTGTGGCCCTCCCACGGCGACACTGTCAACACAGCCACCACGTTGCTTATGTTTCCCTGCCTTTGAGGTTTTTGCAAACGCCGTGTAATTGGTTACTGTCTGGACTGCTCTTCGTGGTGGGGATTGCGTATCTGCAGGAGCGAGAGGCTGGCAGTCTCCACTGCTGGTGATGCTTTCATGTCTGTGTGACTCCAGGGCTGGCTAATGGTCCCGACATGGGAGAGACAGACGGCCTCCAAGAGGTGCCCCTCTGCAGCTGCCGGATGGAAACCCCGAAAAGCCGAGAGATCACCATTCTGGCCAACAACCAGTGCATGGCCACGGAAAGCGTGGACCACGAGGTGAGTGTTCCTTTAGCAGAGCAGGGGGTGTGGCAGTGCCCGGAGCAGGGCTGGAGCACAGAGTCCAGCAGACAGCGGAGGAGACAAGGGTGAAACCCAGACACAGGTTGAGAGCTCTTTGGAAGGCGGTGCCAGCGGTGCCCATGCCCGTCTGTGTGTCTGTTGGGGTCGTGCTAAGCAGAGGGTTCAGTCTATTGCATGTGCGGACGTGGACGGGCGGGCTGCAGAGTCGAGCCTGCAGCATCCCTGCCAGCCCCGTGGTCCTCACATGCAGCCTGTCCACAGGCCCACCCACCCTCTCAGGACTTTCCCCAGTGACAGGGCACTCGCCCGTCAGACCGTCCCCTCCTGCTGTCTCCTGAGCTGTGGCTCGCCCCCTCGGTCCGCGTCCTGGCTGCGAGCTGGCATCCAGAGCTGCCCCTCACCACCAGGCATTTTAGAGTGCACCTCTCTCAAAAAGGGGACGTTTTTCATGGAGCAGAAATAACAGTAGTTTCCTGCACCCAGTGCAGGGTCCAGTGTGTCTGTGAACACATCTTCTTACAGTTTCTCCTCAGCCCTTTTTGTGGCAGCGTGTCCTGTGTTTCTGCCTCTTTTAACCCAACAGCCCCACCACTCTTCCTCTCCCTGTCCACGCTGCTGACCCATTGATGGACTGAGAGAACTGGGCGGCTGAGGCTTTCCTTTCTGCTCAGTCGTGCCCTTAGTTCCTGTGGTCTGAGTGCGTGGCTGGAGATCCGAGGAGGTTCGGGCCACTCAGCCTTTAGCTTATTTCCATTTAATGCTGCCCAGGGTGCTGTGGAGTGGTGCTGAGACGCACCGGGGTCTGTGGTGGCCGGTGCCCCGTCCAGTCCTCCTCAGCCTTCACTGGACAGTGTGACAGTCCTCGGTCACAATGCCTGACCGGTCGTCTCCCAGGCCATCGCAAAGTGGCGAGTGTGCATCTGTCATTCCTCCCGCAGTCACTGCTGAGCTGTCTGTTCCTGGCACACACCCCATTGACTGACAGACAGCAGAAGTGGCTACCTCTTGGTGTGATTTCATTTTTCAGGTACTGAGCTGGTGCCCTAACGACTTCTGGTGGCTTGATTTTGTCACGCTCCCCTTAGCATCTTGGGAACTCATGGTCTTTTTAGTATTCAGGGTGCTGTACACTTTTTGTTACAACATGAAACAGAAAACAGTACAGGACAGATGTTTGGCTAACGAGTGTGCCGAGGGTGAGCACTCATGACCACACCACCATCAGGATGCAGAGCTGGGCCCCGAGGAGCCAGTACCCTGACTTCTGCAGAGTTCACCCTATTTTCCTGAGTGTCACTGTCCATATGTGTAACCTTGGACACTTGCCAATTCGTCTTAATTTACACACACACACACACACACCTTTCTTTTCCTGCCCGCTGTGGATGGATATTGGGGCCCCCTGACCTCGAGGTCTGAGCTTGGGGTCCCGTACCCCTGCTTTTCTGTTCCGCATGCTCGTCTGCTCCACCGTCTGCAGCCCTGTGTGGCTGTGGCTGTGTTGTCTGGCTGTCTCTTTTCTGATGTCTGTGTTAGCTCGCTGGAGGTTTTAAAGTGGGTGGTTGGTCCCTCTTTGTTCTTTCACTTGAGACGGTTTTATAGGGAGGCTTGTCCTCCCACCTGGCGCCTCTCACCCAGCATCGCAGTGCACAGAGCGAGGTTTGAGCCGATTCCGTCTTTTGGACAGTTTGCTCCATCACCTGCTGAGGTTGACCAGTTCTTCCTTTTGAAGCGTCACTGTGGCCTCGTGTTCAGGAATATATTTATCTCTTGTATTTCATCCTTACTGGTGCTCAGACTGTCCCACGGTTGGCCCACGGGCCCTCTTCACATGGAACTTTTCCTGGGTCGCGGCTATTGTCACACTACTGAGTAGCTCTGTGCCTTTAACTCATCTCAGATGGCACGGTGGCACGTCATGCGTGTGACGATCGTGTGGCTCTGGGGTCAGTCTCCACGGTGCTGCTTAATCGCTGAGGCATGCGACACACCGTGGACTCTACTGGACCGGCTCTCAACGGGCGACATGGAGGTGTCCCAGAGCAACTGGATGCCTAGGAATCGGTCACCTTGCTGTTTTTTTCTCTTTAGTTTATTCTTTATTTTTACTCCCTGACCACAAGTTTATTCAGCACAACAATCTCTCCAGCTTCTCTGAGGTGGTCGACCATGTCCACAACCAAACCTGCCCTAAACTGGAGTTTGGGTGCTACCCAGCCCAGCCCCCGCTTTCTCGGGGCACGGGCACAGTGCACGTCAGTTGGCGTCTCTCGGCTTCCCCTCTGGTGAGTCTTGCAGGTTGCTCACCCTGCAGACCTCTGGGCCTTGACCTCCCTGTCTCAGGCCAGCCGCAGCGCAGTGTGGCAGGTGGAGGTCATCACGGAGACACCGACGCCCTTGTTGTTAAGGTGCCATAGAAGTGCCTCCAGGCAAACTTCCTTCACATGGCCCCGTGATGTGCGACTGCGTGGCCTTCCTGATGTGAAGGTCAGGCACATTCTTGCCCGCCAGCTTGGGTTGGGCATGTGAACCTCCTCTTGGCCACCCTCACTCCCGCTTTAAAAAAATCGTAAGTGGCCGTCAGTTCTCCCGGGGCATCAGCATCGTGGTGGCTGCTGTGTCCTGGAAAGGGCCACCTGGGTTTGGCAAAGAATCAGAGAAACTCCCATAACACACTCTGCAGGCTGACGCATTCGTGAGAACCCGGCTTCCTTTCAAACCATGTTAAAGCATTTTGCAAGCAATGTACAACTATGCTCCTCTTCTCATTAAAACTTTGTTTTGGAAATTCCCCCCGCCCCATTTTTTTATGTGATAGATGTAGGTGTATTGCTATTTTAAAATAAATTATTACTTTAAAAATTTTAGGTTTCCAATATGGTATCAGTAGCTATGTCCCCTTTGGACAAAGCTCTTTGGGGCCCTGAATAATTTTAAGAGTGTAAAAGAATCACTGGGCATGGTCTTCTCTTTTCTGAATTTCTCTTGTCCCAGTCCTGTCCAGAGTTGATTCAGTCCCGGCAGCTTTCCCTGGTGACCCCGTGCAGGCCGCTTGGAGAGTTCTGCAGCCCCTGGGCTTGGCAGCACTGGGAAACGCTCTCCGGGTCGGTGGCCTGCTCCTCTCAGCCTCCCTGCGCCTCCCAGCGGGTGTTCTGGTGCCCGCCTGTCTTCCTTCTCCTGCCTCGTGTCTCGGGTCTGCCCCTCCCACAGAGTCCTGGGGCTGTGGTTGACAGGGGTTTGTTGTCTGTGGGTTTGGATTTTGCCCTCTATTTGCTCAGACTGTTTTATGTGGGATCCAGGAAATTCTGGGGCCGCAGCTCTTCCCTCAAATTATTTTTGTCTTTCGTCGCTCAGCCTGTCTCATCCTTGGTGGCGGCAACCTTTTCTACACAGGCTCCTCTGGCTTTCTGTTGCCCTTTCTGCAGCTTTCTGGAGGCAGAGTTCACACAGTCAGAGTTGCCCATTTTGTGTGCGGTTCTCAGTCTGACAGGTGCATACAGTCGAGTGACCACCATGGTCAGGGACCTGCTGGGCGGCCTCAGGTGCTTCTCTGTTCCTACCCTTTGTCCCATTACTGACGAGCTGGCTCTGCAGCCCTCGCCCTGGGTTTCTGCTTCCAGCCTGTCATCTCATTGAACAGACTCCCGTAGTCCCTGCGACACCTGTGGGTCCCCATCTAAGCTCCTGCCCCACCTCCCTGCTCTGCCGCTGTCCTGGAGCCAGGTGTGCACGGCAGTCTTTGCACCTCTCCCCGGGCCACTCTGTCCTCATGTTGGCAGTGGGCTCTGCGTAGCATGTGGGCTCCAGTCTTCTGTAGGATGTGCAAGCGCTGTGTTAACTGGCGTGTTTGGGTTGTCCCCCGTCAGTGTGCTTGTGGACATAGTTGGGTCACAGCCGAACATTGTAACAGAGCCAAGACTTCGGTCCTTGCTGCCCCTTTTCTTCATTTCCCACCTTTATTCCACCGTTGGCGTCCTGTTTACGTCTCCTCTAGCCTTTTTAGAGGTTACCCTGGGTTTACGGCAGGTGTCTTTAATTCCTGTTCACCCTCCATCCTGTCCTGCCTCTTTCCGCACAGCCTGAAGGCACGAGGCCCTGGCCCTCCCCGTCTCCTCACGTTGTAACCCTGTGCACGCTAGAGCCCCACAGCGCACCGCCGCAGACGGCCAGCTGCCTTCTAGACGCAGAAGCAGCCTTCCACTCTCCTCCAGCCACCTGCTTGTCCGGGGCCCGTCCCTCCGCGTCGTGCTCCGTGTGCCCGGAGACCCCTCTGTTTGCATTTATTTTCCCCTGTAGCACAGTCTGCTAATAACGAGGCCTCTCCCTTTTCTTCTTTGGAAAGTCTGTGCTTTGCCTTCATTTCTGGAAGGTATTTTCGTGGACGCAGACTTCCCGGCACACACGGACGTTGCCCAGCATGGTTTTCTGTGGTTTCTGGTGAGAAGGTGACGGCTGCTTGACCTGGGTGCCTGAGCACATGGCGAGGGCTCTGGCTGCCAGCAGGGTTCCTCCTGCCTTTGGGCCCAGGGGTGGTGGTTGTGCTGTTTTATTTTTCTCTTGGTATGACCCTCGTGAGACTTCTTATTCCTAGGAAATTCCTGCACGTGGCGGTTTCCTTTTCAGCCTGTTCTTTCTCCTGCTCCGGAACTCGGGTGGCAGGAGTGTTGGGGCTCACGGCCTCGTCTCGCGTGCTGGGGGGTGTGAGCTCATCTCACAGCTGGCAGCTGCTCTGCTCTTTTTTCCTTTGTACTCTGGGTTTAGATCGTTTCTGTTCACTCTTTTCAGATTCAGTGTTTTCTTCTTACTTGTGGAGTATACAAATGAGCCTGTTTTATTCCTAGTGTTGCCGTTGGAATTTCCTCCCGTCCCGTCGGATGATAAGGCTCTGGGCCGTCTCAGGTTTGCTTCTGTCGGCTCCTGCATCTCATGACAGTGGGTCCAAATCCAGGTTCCCTTAGTGCCTCAGCCTCGGTCGCCGACATGCTGCACCACATGATCCTCGTGGCGGCGGCTGTGTGTGGTCACGGGTGTAGAGCAGCATCCCGTCCCCAGCTAAGCGACCGGAGGAGCCAGTGCTGTCAGTGCTCAGGCTGGCGGTGCGTCCTGGGGGCCCTGGGGCGCTCTCCCAGCCCCTCCCTGAGGCAGCCGCTCTAACTCTTTTTTCTTCTGGTGCCTTTCTCCATATTTTAAATGCTTTAAACCCATTTCAGTTCCATAGTTTTAACCCACTTTCTGCCATCGTCTCGACTTTCCGCCTGGAGGGTGTGGGCCCCTGTGTGTGGAGGAGATGCCTCCCCTGTGGTCACTGTGGGTGGGAGCGGTGTTTGGGGCCCGTGGTTGCTGCGGGTCATGGCAGAGCTGCTGAGCCGGGTCACTCTCCCTCCCTCAGAGTTACTAGTTGCCGTGTCCTTCACCATTTTCTTCAGACCTGCTACAAGTTCAGTCCCAAACAATCAAAATTGCGCATTTTGTCAGAATTTCCAGGCACAGCAGGTTTCCCTCTGGGTCGGTCGCCTTTCCTTTTTGGTGCGTGACCCACGTTGCTTCCCGAGAAAGGTCGCCTGGGAGATGTTCCTGAGACGTCGTGTTCTGAGGATGTCTTGTCTCGCTTACCTGGCCCCGGGTGTGTAGGGGACTCTAGGTGAGACGTGTCTCTTTTGGACACTGAGACCAGTCTTCTTCTTTCTGGTCTGCGTGGTGCGGCCCCTGTCTCGTCTTCTCTTAGGTCCCCAGCCCTGTCTTCACCCCTGGTGTGGGGGTTGTGGCTGTGGGGCTGTGTCTGGTCCTCACGGGGCGCAGCCATGCGTGCCCCTCGGCCTCCCTGTGCTTCCTCTTTTACATTTTTTACTTTTTCCTTGACTTTCAGAAATTCCTCCTACCTGTAGTGCTTCTGTGTAAATTCTCTACCTGATTTCCGATTCCAGGAACTCGTTTCTGTCCCCGGGTGTGTTTTCTTTTAGAGCCTCCGGTTCCCATTTCAGAGCCTCTGGGAGCTATTTCTCCAAGGGCACTGGTGACTGTTTCTCACATCTTCTGCCCGTTCTGTGCTCTGATACCGGCTCCTTTGCTCTGCTCTCTGTCTTCTGTCTCGTGTCCTCCTGCAGCCACTTGCTGGAGAAGGTGGGCCATTGAGAAGGAAGATGGTGCTCGGGGTGTGTGGCCCACGACTCTGCCCTTTGCTCTCGGACTTTCTCTGCATCTGGGTGTGATCGGTGGGGGTGGGGGCTATGTCAGCTGATTAGTCCCCGGGCAGCAGTGAGGGTCTTCATCTGAGGCCTGAGGTTGGCTGCTCTTGGTGTGCACCTGGGCTGCACCCCAACCTGTTTAAGATGTGTCCCAGACTCATCATCTGTAGCTTACTGGTCACCCATCATGTGTAGCCCTGGGTCTGGCATTTGCTTTGGTGTCCTGACCCCTCATGGGTTTCCGGGATTCACTGCCTTCTTCACCGGTGGCCCGTGACATCCATGATGTCCAGCCTTGTTTGCCCTGCCTGGTGTGCATCTATTTAAAAAAGTTTTATACTCAACCTAGACTCCAGCTTGCTCAGATGTCCTCTTTGATTTTGCCAAGTTAACCAGCTGCAGCACTAACAGAACGTGGCCACCCATCATGCTGATTGTCCGCTCTGGTGGACATGCATTCTTGACCCCACGCAGGTGCTTGAGGTCCACCCTGGACTCGCACCCGCCAAGCGCCTACCGGTGGCTCTGTTGCTGACCTGGTGTTGTCTGATTGCAGCTGGGCAGGTGCACCAACAGCGTGGTCAAGCACGAGCTGATGCGCCCGTCCAGCAAGGCGCCGCTCCTGGTGCTGTGTGAAGACCACCGGGGCCGGATGGTGAAGCACCAGTGCTGCCCAGGCTGTGGCTACTTCTGCACGGCGGTAAGCGCCTGGCCCCCCGCAGCCAGCAGCCTCCCTGCACACGGCTGCTCACAGTGCAGGCGCAGCAGGCGCGTCCCAGCACCTCCTCAGTCGGGCCACCTGGAGGTCTGCATGAGCTCACGTGCGCCCCCTTCCTCCTGCCTGGGAGCCTTGGCTCTAGGGACAGTGGGGACTGGGAGGTGGGTGCTGGGCACCCTCAACTCCCTCTCCTCTCCGTAAGCCTCATGTGTGAGTGCACAGCCTGTCCTGGGAGGGGCTTGCTCTGCCTTCTGTGTTGCCCTGATCTCCTGTTTCTCCTGGGTCTTCACTAGTCACTTCCTTCCACAAATACCGGTGCCCACCAGTGCCCAATGCACCGCCCCCAAGCTCCCTCCTCCTGAGGGGCTGCTGTGGATGTCACCCCTCTGCCCTCCCATCTCAAACATGCTCTTTGCTTCTGACCAAGAAAAGGGAGGCTGCTTCTCTGCTCACTGAGCTCTAGCTTCTCCCTCTCAGGCTCACCCCTCTGTGTCAGAGAGCCCTTCTGAGGCCACCAGAGCCCGAGTGCCACAGTGGCGTTCCGTGATCTCTGCAAATCACTGTTGCTAGCACCTTCCTCCTGCCGCTCAGTTCTGACTTGTATTTTCTGGTCTGTCCTCTATGGGTCCTTCTTGGGACCTGGCCTTAAGTGGCCTCTCCCAGGTTGGGGCCCTGCCTTGGCCTTGGGCACAGGGTAGGGCTCTCTCTTCAGCCGAGGTCTGTGCGGAGGACTCTGGGGCCAGCCTCCTCCTTGCTGGCCTCCAGCTGCCCCCATGCTGCTCACTCACTGAGGTTCTGTCCCACAGGTTTGTTTACTTCTCTGCCTATCAGCCCAGCTGTGAGACACGAGTCCTCTTTTCCTGTTGTAGGGCAACTTCATGGAGTGTCAGCCCGAGAGCAGCATCTCTCACCGCTTTCACAGAGACTGTGCCTCTCGAGTCAATAATTCCAGCTACTGCCCCCACTGTGGGGAGGAGACCTCCAAGGCCAAAGAGGTGACGATTGCAAAAGCAGATACGACCTCCACCGTGACCCTGGCCCCGGGGCAGGACAAGAGCTCTACAGGCGAGGGGAGGGCTGACACCACCACAGGCAGGTAGGTGCTCTTCTAGCTGAGCCCTCAGGTGGTTCCCCTGACACGTGTCTGTCTGTCATTGTGGTTGATGTCTGCCGTGTATCCAGAAGTCTCCCAGCTGACTCACACTCATGGTGTCTGACATTCAAGATGCACCGAGATTCATGTGGTATTGCCGTTGGGCGTAGGTCTCTTCCTGGGTTGCTTTTGTAGATTCATTTGCCTATTTTTGGACCAGTATCACACTGTCTAAATCGACGTGATGTTATAGTATTTTCCATGGGTAGCACCTGGGTATGTCTGAAACATCTGTACATATATGTACGTGTGTGTGCACATCTGTGTGTGTGTACATGTCTGTATACATATATACGTCTGAGCACGTCTGCATGCATGCCTATACATATCTGTACATGCCTGTATGTGTACAAACATCTTTGTACATGTCTGAACACATCTGTATGTGCATGTACATGCGTGTCTGCATAATGTCTGCACGTATCTCTGTGAGTGCTCATACACATCTGTGTGTTTGTCCACATACATGTGTGTTTTTACCTGTATCTATCTATATGTGTACGTTTGCATGCATCTGCACGTTTATGCTTGTGTACACGTCTATACATGCATACATGTGTGTTCACATAATAAGGAGTGTTAGCATCAGCTGGTGCCGTCTGTGTTACTGCTTTATGTTTTGAAGGTCATAGCTGGGCACAGAAAAAAATAATCTGAAAGACGAGTTCATATTGGAAGCATATAAATTTCTTTCTACAAGAATTCAGTAGAAGCCCTGGCTGGGTGGTTCAGTTGGAGCATCAGCCTGTACACTGAAAGGTTGTGGGTCCGATCCCTGGTCGGGGGGCATACCTAGGTTGGGGGCTGATCCCTGGTCAGGGCACATATGGGAGGCAACCAATCGATGTTTCTCTCTCTCTCTCTCCAAAATAAATAAAAACATTCTTGGGTGAGGATTTTAAAAAAAAGAATTCCATAGAAACAGCTGAGGAACCCATAGAGCTAAAAGGAGCCGTGAGAAAGTGAAGTGAGGTAGACGTGTTGGAGGCTGGTTGCCGTGCTCCCCTCCAGCCGTGTCTGGCTGGAAAATAAAATGAAAAAGAGCCTTTCAGACCCGCAGCAAAGCCCGTAAACTGCCCAGGGAAAGCACTTGATAAACACCACACTGATATGGAGAAGAGTGTGAAGCTTCACTGAAGGTCGTCTACCAGACGAGAATTATAGACACGTCAACTGTACTAGCGGGGCGTCGACCCCTCCGTGTTAATCTGTTAACTTAGTGCATTCTGAATCCAAATGTTGGTGGGATCCCCCCTCCTGAGGGGTGTGGACTCCATAGGTTCAGCCCAAAGCTTGTTCACAAAAGCAGATGTGAACACGTGGCCCAGAAGTCCTGGGACAAGGGTCCGTGTTGTCCCCGATTTTCCTCTGGGTCTTGACTCTGAGCCGACTCTCCCTGTGAGGTCCTTCTCGCTCTCAGAAGAGCAGCCTGTTTGGGAGGCTCCCAGGAAACAAGGTTCTGTGTTTTCATTGGTCTCCACATGAAGGGAGGTTTTTCAGGTTTCCCCACAACTCAGCATCTCACATGCCCTCCTCCTTAAAGCGCTGCTGGCCCCCTGCTCTCAGAGGACGACAAGCCGCAGAGCACGGCTGCCTCGGTGCCCGAGAGCTTCGACCCTGCAGGGCCGGCGGGGCTGGCGAGGTCAGGACCTGGGAAGGAGACCCTGGAAAGTGCTCTCATCGCCTTGGACTCAGAAAAGTAAGGACCATGCTTTCACACTTGCTCAGGGCCCTGTGCCATCACTTCCGCGCTGCCGCTTCCCCTTCCCCAGGCCCCTCCCGCGCTCTGTACCGGCACATGCCAGCTACCAGGTTGTTGGCACACTGGGCCCGCAGTTCCCTACCATTCCCAGTTCTTGCCAAGGCTGCACGTCCCAGGTGTCTGCCTGTCTGGGCTCCGGGCGTTCCCGGGAGGTCACTGGCATTGTTCTCACTAGTTTGTCCATTGGGACAGTGCCCACATTTCCACCGTTTCAGGAAGTCACTGCAAGTTACTGTCCATTGCTCTTAGAGCAGAGGTGACACCCTTGAAGTCAGCAGGGACAGTCTGGCCAAGGTTGTACAGACAATTCCCTGGCACACTGCTGACCTGCAGCACTGACCACAGGGCCTTAGCACCAGCGCCACTTGGCCAGTTCCACATTGTAAAAGGAAGGCTGGACCGGGTGGTCCTGCAGGCTAACCTGCCAGCTCTCAAATTCTGCAGCCCTACTTCTGGCCCTACAGGAGGCACGATGTCCCTGACCAGTGAGCAGGCAGGTGTCCTCTCCCAGGGGACACCGTGGCCCCTCCTCAGGGAAGCCAAGCGACCCAGCTCATCACGGTCTCAGCCAGGCGTGTGTTCTCCCTTGGGGAAGCGTGTCCATCTTCCAGGTGGGCGTGAGCGTCACCTTAGTCTTACTTCATGGACAATTCCTGTGCTGGGACACATTCCCGAGGCCCCCATAGCTCCTTTTGGTGTTCAGCCTCCTTTCTGCCCCATGACTCATCTGTCCCCACTGCCCACTCACCAGGTTCAACAGGAGTGGGGGGGCTGGCTGGCTAGGAGCACTGTGCTCTCGCCTACAGCCGCCCCTGACCTAACTTCATGCTACCTGAGTGTGCAGAGTTCGCCCCCGGCTGCAGATGGCAGGTGACGCTGATAGGGCGCAGTGAGAGCACCTGGTGTTATATGCTGTCCATGGTGGTTCACAGACAACGGACTTGTAGTGGGAAAATCCCACACCATCCCAAGTGAGGGCCCTGGGTGAAACTGATTGGTCAGGAGCAGTGCAGGCAGGGTCACGATTTCAGGGTGGAGGTCAGCTGCGAGTCCCTTAGTCTGGTAGGGAATGGCCAGGGTCCTTTCTGGGACTCAGGACACAGCTTAGGCCCTGGTGTTACCCTCAGCTTGGCCGGCCCACACCTGTGACCCTCGGTCAGGGCCTGGCCCTGGTCTTGCTGCTTTGGGAGTTAAATGCTGGGAGAGACCATGCTGAGTGCTAAGGCTGCAAGTTCTCTCAGAGTCAGGCCGATGTCCGGGCCCAGCTCCAGCTGTGGGGTGGTGCTCTGTACCTGGGTTCATGAACCACTGTCATGTAGATGGAGAAGGCAGTGCTCACACTTGCCTTGACCTGGAGGAATGGGCAGGTGGACGTCATGCATGGCGACGGGTGGGCCTGGGGCTGACAGCTGCCTGCCCTGTGCTTTCTCCACAGACCCAAGAAGCTCCGCTTCCACCCCAAGCAGCTGTACTTCTCTGCCCGGCAAGGCGAGCTTCAGAAGGTGCTGCTCATGCTGGGTGAGTCCTGCCTGCTCCACACACCCCGCTGGCCAGAGCCCCAGGGAGCAGACCCTCACTTCCTTCCCCACGGTGGTTTCTCTGCTCCCTGACTGGTGTGAGCAGGTGCCGGTGGTGGGGAGCCATTCCACATTGTTCACACTCAGTTGTCCACGGGAGTGGGAACACTCTCTATGAATTTCTCATTTTAATGAGGCATTAGGCACATAACTATTAAGTTAAGAAGAAACGTAGATTCAGACACTGCAGGTGAGCCAGGCCTCTGTGCTGGGTGGTGTGGGAAGGAGCTGTGAGCGGTGGGGACGCAAGTCCATTGGATTTGGAGCTGTTGTGCACATGGGTTTTGTAGGAGGTACACCTGCGGGTGCGGACGTCTGCCATCTGACATCCTGGCCTCCTCACAGGCCATAGGACAGTAACTTCATTCTGAGCTCCCAGCTCAGCTTGATTTCTCTGGGTTGAAAAAGGTGATTAAAAATCTCCTCATTTCACAATAAATCAGGGGAGAAACTCAACAGTTTGCTCTAAAAAATGTTGTATTTCATGTTGACCAAAATGGCACTTCTAATCATTTTCCTCAGACCTTCACTGCAGCCTCCCTGCTTCGTGGTTGATCTCTCGGCTCAGGGTCCTTTTAGGCCGCTGGGGGCCGTGCTCACCAAGCACATTACTGTCAGGGCCACGCCTGGCAGTGCTGTCCCAGGAGCCTCTGTCCCCTGAACGTGGGGTCAGGGCCTCTACCGATAGGCTCAGCAGGTGTCCTGGGCGGGGTCCTGTCACCAGGCCCCCTAACAACACAGAGTCCTGGAGCAGTGACTGGGACCCAGGTTAGACAAGGGCAGAGGGAGAGGATTTGTATCGATAGCTCGCTTCTGACCACATCCCGGCTGCTGACTTGTAGAAACTCGTGCGAGGCTCCCTTCGAGCCTGGGATGTCCACCCAGACAGGTGCTGCCGCCTTACGTCTGTGTGGGTGTGGGAGTCAGCGTCGGCTCTGGGGTAACCAGCAAACCTGTTTGTTCACAGTTGACGGAATCGATCCCAACTTCAAGATGGAGCACCAGAGCAAGCGGTCCCCACTGCACGCCGCTGCGGAGGCCGGCCATGTGGACATCTGCCACATGCTGATCCAGGTGCATGTTTTCGGGTGTCTGAAGCATGCTAGTCACCACGTCCTCACCGGGTGTGGCTGTGGTGGCAGCTCCCCCAACGACTGTCCCCATTTCATAGGCGGGAGCCAACATCGACACCTGCTCGGAGGACCAGAGGACCCCACTGATGGAGGCGGCAGAGAACAACCACCTGGACGCAGTGAGGTACCTCATCAAGGCCGGCGCCCTCGTCGACCCCAAGGTAGGTGCGCTCCAAGTCCCCTCCCTGTTCCGTTAGCGCTTCCTCAGACACTGGACGGGATCAGTCCCCCGTGGGGTGTCTTCAGGAGTTTGTAGCTGCCGGATACCCGCCAGTTCTCTGGAATAGCTCGCTCAGCGAGTGCGGTTGTGGTGGATTTGCAGGCAGTCCTAGCGCACGCTGAGTCCCTGCACCTGACGGCAGACAGAGCAGGCCTGCAGGGGCTGCCGCCGGGGTGGGAGCTTCCTTCATGTGATACACTTTCTCCTCTGTCTTCCACCTGGTCCAGTGAGGACATAAAAGAAATAAAAGGCACCCAAATGGGAAAGGAAAAGCAAAACAATCTGTTAAAGATGGCATGGCCTTACATGTAGAAAACCGTGAAGAGCCCACAAAAAACTTGTTAGAACTAACAAATGCGTTCGGGAAAGTTGAGAGAGAGTCAGTACAGAAACATCAGCTGTGCTTCTTTCCTCTTGATGGACTGTCGAGAGAGGAAGTTCAGAAAACAGTTCCATTTACAACAGCGTCAGAAAGAGGGACGCGCTCAGGAGTGAACTTTACCAAGGAGGTGAGACTCACTGAAAACCACGCAGCGTTGCCGAAGGACGCTAAAGACACACATGAATGGACACACTACTCAGAGGGATGGACAGAGTCAGTGGAGCCCGATCAAACTGCCATCCAGCTTCTCAGAATGAGAAATGCACGTCTTCACATTCGTGGGGCCTTGGCTCTGAACAACCCAAACAGCCTCGAGGCGGCAGAGCTGAGCACTCGCACTCCTGGTTTGGAAACTTGCTGCAAAGCCCAGTAATGAAGACTGGTGCTGGCTCAGGACAGACACGTGGACCGTGGACTAGGACAGTGAGCTGGAATGAGCCTTGCGGAAGTTGGGTGATTCTCCACAGGGGAGTGGAGATGGATCGTGGGGAAAGGGCAGTCCTGTGACTGGACAGCCCCTTACAGGAGAACGAAGTTAAACAGAATTACTGTGTGGTCCAGTCGTTCTACCCCTGGGCGTGCGCCAGAGAGGCTGAGGGACGCGGACAGACATCTGCGTTCCCGTGCACAGCAGCCAGACAGGTGGGGGCGCCTCAGCTGTCCGTGGGTGGACGACAGGTCAGCAAGGGTGCTCTGTCCACACAGTGGGAGGTGATTCAGCCTTAAACAGGGAGGACAGGGCTGAGCGAGGCATTCGGCCTCAGGAGGGTGCACGTGTGCTCCCCCTGCTGCGAGGGCCATAGGCTCCGCAGCTAGAGACTGAGGTAGCTGGGGGGCGTCGGGGCGTCCGCTTGATCGTCACTGGTTCCCGTGGGTGCTGAAGGAGCCTTCGGAGTAGATGGTGATGGCTGCCCGACACTGACGTAATTAGTGCCAGTGAATCACACACTCGAAACGGCTGAAATGGCGAGTTTTGCGTTATACATAGACAGCCCCAGTCAGAAACGTAAGTAAGGTCTTACAGTTTCACATAAATGCATATTTTTTTCCCAACAGAGTGGTCATACTGTTCACACTTATTTATCAGCTCCTCTTTCCCATCAAATTAAATTCTATTTTTCTGTTGCTAAATTTCATGATGTAATCGTACCACTTTTTACTCAGGTTTGCTTACTTAACATTCGTTACTTTCTGTTTCTGTCCTACATAGTTCAGCAGGTATTTTCCATAACTGCTCTCACACATGGGTGGTTCCTTTAGGACAGGTTCTGGGCACGGAATTGCAACATCAGAGCATCGTCGTTTTTAAGGCTTTATGCTCTCTCTGAACTGCACCAGGGCATCTGCGCACCCATTTCCCCACATTCTCACCAAGTCCAACGGGCACACAGTCTGATACACAAAACTGGTGGTTTTACTTATTTACTATTTTCATTTGCTTCCCTGAAACGGAACATTTTTTGTACATAGTTTATCACGTTATGGATGTTTTTCAAACCTGTATTTAGTCCTGTTTGTTTTTGGTGGTGCCGGGATCTGGATCGTTAGCACGGCGATAAACGTGCCTCAGTGACCCTCCACCACAGAGGGCAGCTGTGGTCCTGTTGTGCAAGGCGTGCAGAGGGCGGGGAGCAGGCCCGGGTCGTGTTGGAGCAGCTCATGGAGGGCCAGGCCCTTACACACTGGCCCCGTCCCTCAGGCCGTCTGGACTATGGGGGAGGGAGAAACGGTGCCATCAGGTTCACCTGCAGGTGTGTCTTGAGGGTAGAGACTATGGTCACCTGAACCCTGCCCCATCAGTGTCAGTTGGGGCTAAAGCCCAGTGGACAGGGCTTTGATCTGGGCCATGTGAACTTGAGAAAGTCCCCACCCTCTGCCCGGACCTGATGGTGTTTGTGTTGCAGGATGCTGAGGGTTCCACCTGTTTGCACCTTGCCGCCAAGAAAGGCCACTATGATGTGGTTCAGTACCTGCTTTCAAATGGACAAATGGATGTCAACTGTCAGGTAAACCACACCCTTCACTTACTGACACTGCCCCTGACCCAGTGTCCTCCCCGCTGCGTCATCTGGCTGCACCTGGATGCCAGTCCATTTGCAGTCCTGGGCTGACAGTCTTGCTTCATGCTCAGAGTCCGTGTCACTAGGGCCAAAAGGACGCACAGACCCTGGGTCCCAGGGAGGATTAGGTCTGCAGCATTTCCGGTCTTTTCCTCCATGACCTGGCCGCCTCACTCGGGGTGTCACGTGGGGCCCTGCCTGCCCAGCAGTTCTGTCCCCCTCAAAGTAGAGGTTTATGGGTCAGTGTGACCGAGTCCTGGCTCCGTCCTGCCCTCTCCAAGACACCTGGGGCAGCGCCCTGAGCCTCGGTTTCCTCATCGACACAACAGACTGTGCCTGGCTCCCGTGGCATTGGCCACCCCGCAGGCTGGAGGGCGGCTATCCTTGCCATCACTGCCAGGAGCTGTGATGGGCTTTACTTTCTCTCGCAACTAGGATGATGGTGGCTGGACACCCATGATTTGGGCCACGGAGTACAAGCACCTGGACCTGGTGAAGCTGCTGCTCGCCAAGGGCTCGGATGTCAACGTCCGGGACAACGTGAGTGTCTGGTGCCAGGGTAGGAGGGGCTGGGTCGGGGGGGCCTGCCCTTGCATCATTCAGGGTTCTGGGGTTATGTTTTCTGTCAGCCGGTGGCTGGCCATCGCCCCAGAGCACATCTGAACGGTGGCGGTGTCACCGCATTGGTGATCAGGACGGTGAGCCCTGTGCACAGCCCTCATCCGGGCAGGTAGAGGTGAGACCCTGGGTCCATGCAGTTGCCGCCTTGGAAGGAAAGAGGAGGAGGGGTTGGTGGGGCCGTGGTTTATGGGCTGACTTAAGACACTGGATGGTTAGTGAGGAGGACAGGGTATCCGCCCAGAAAACAGGGTGGGGCCGAGTACCGAGGCCTCAGCAGAGCCCCTGGAATGGCCTCCAGCCCTGGGCTTCCCGGACAGACACAGTGCGGCTGTGTCCACCTTTACGGAGTCACCAAAGCCTCTGGAAAACCCAGGCACAAACTCATTAAATGGGTAACAAAATGGGAACGCAGGCTTGACACAGACGATTCCTGGGAGCACACTGGACCCCGAGTCAGAGTGGTGCCCAGGGTCCGAGGCAGGACCCAGAGCAGCAGGCGCCCTGGGCTAGGGGCTGGAACGCTGCGTGAGGACGACATGATCACGAGAGGGACTGAACTGGGCAGCGCTGGGGAGACAGTTCAGATGAGGACAAGCGGGACAGGACGCAGCGAGGCCTGCGTGCCGCCAGCCCGGAGGCCCACCTCCCTCTGCCTCGCTGACCTTTGTCTCTGCCACGAACTGCCTCCCTGAAGCCACGCCGCGGTTCAAGATCCCCGCTCTGTGTCCACTCAGGCAGAGGTCACGGAGACGCTATGGGCAGCGTCCACTTGAGCAGGTGGTTCTTACGTTTCGGGAGTTTGGTTACCTTGCCCCTTATTTATCTGATGAGACCACTCTGTGGTGCTACTTACACAGTTTCTTGGTGGGTAACTGGCAGACTGCACTATGTAAAGGGCACAATTGGAAAAGTTCTAACCCCAGCACCCCCACGATCCAGATGGTGAAGGTCACTTGCTCCCAGGAGCCTCCTGCTGCTGCTGCTGTGCCTGGAGGGACAAGTGCCTGCTGAGCCCACTGTTCCAGGAGGGACGAGTGCCTGCTGGGCTTCACCTGAGTGTCCTCAGCTTCTTCCTTTCCGTGCACAGATCTGAGCTCGTGGCTCAGTTGGCTGAGCAGCAGCCTGGGCACCAAAAAGCTTTGCGGTTTTGGGCTGCCGCAGGTGGAGCTGCCGTGAGTGGTCACAGCCAGGGCTTTGTGTGGCCCACACTCGTGTCTCGCGGGGCGTGGCGAGGAGCCAAAGGCTGGGGCGTAGGACGTGTGTGTTTTAGCTTTTCTAGGAAACTGCCAAACTACTTTCCAGGTGGCTGGCCTTTCCAGCGTTGAGCATCCCGTGTCCACGTCCACCTAGCACTGGTCTGTGGCGAAGGGTCTTCGCAGGGCTGTGCTCATGTTTATTGGGGTGCTTATTTCCTCCTGAGAGACAAGAGGCCTTGTGTGTTGTGGGCACAACTCCTCTGTCAGGTGTGTTTACAGACCCTAGCGGTTGTCTGGAGGAACGGGTGCTTTTCATGATGAAAGTGCAGCTGATTCTCCGTAAGGGTCATGTTCTTGCTGTTCTGTGTAAGAAACCGTTGCTTGCCCAGAATCCTGAAGACCTCCCTGTGCTGGCCTCACAGCCTCAGCTGTTGCCTTTTGCGTGTGGTGCGCGGTGTGGATGCTGCTCTGTTGTGTTTGGCTTTTTGTGCGTGGATGTCTGGTTGTTGCGACACTTCCATTTAGAAAGCCGTCCTTTCTCCAGAGACCGACTTTGCACCCTTGCCGACAGCCAGCTGTCCCTGGGGTCAGTCCTGGGCTCTGTCTGCTTTAGCTTTTTTTTTTTTTTTTTCGACTCCTCCCCCGAGGACGCTTAGAGAGAGAAACATCCATCCATATGCCTTCCATATGCGCCCCGACCGGGGATTGAGCCTGCAGCCTGGGTATGCGCCCTGACCGGGGATTGAACTGAGAGCCTCTCAGTGCACAGGCTGGTGCTCAGCCAGCTGAGCCACACCCGCCAGCCAGGCTGCTTTTGACCACGTGGGCCAGGCCTGTCGTCACGTAGCAGGTGGGTCCCAGGAAGCCTGGGGACCTGGTGATGAAATCATTCTGATGAAGAAAAAGGGGGCCCTAAGGAAGCCACATTTAGCTCAGGAGCTCACAGATGTGAGAAGGGTGGAAGCCAGAGGCAGACATCGGGGAGAAGCGTCCAAGAGTAACGTCCAGAACAGGGAGCTGAGACCAGGCGGGTCTTTCAGAAACCACTCAGGCCGACAGGGCTGCCGGAGGGAGCCGCTGGGCCCGGGGCGCTCTGCGCACAATACAGGACCACTCAGTGATGTTTTGCTTTTATTTTTCCTGAGGATCATGGAGCTGAAAGTAGTGAATGTACTTAGAGAGAGATTGGGGCGGGCGTCTGAGAGCCCCAGTGGCGCAGCGAGCGCTTGGCTGCCATCTGGGCCTGAAGTGTGCGTGGCCCCACCCCTGGGTGGGATGGGCAGGGCAGGTGGACCCACATGCTGTCCGCCATGGGGCCTGGGTGCCGAGCCTCCTGCTGTGGATTCAGAGGGGCCACGGAGCAGAAAGGGCTTCGTGGCAGCACAGACTTGTGCCTTCAGGCAAGAGGACCCCCCCCTCTGTGGGCCCGGCTGAGACTGTCCACAGACCAGTCTTGTGTTCCAGAGGGAGACACGGGGTGAACTCAGCCAGTGTGGGGACCTTGCTCCTTGGGGGCCTTGGGGTTACCAGGCCCGGGCAGGCGCTCAGCCCAGGATGGGGTTGGTGGGGACCCTGCCAGGCCAGCCGCGTGAGAGGTGCCATGTTCTTACTCTCACCCTCTCCCAGCCTCATGGGAGAAGGTTGGGACCCTGCTCTCTGTGCGTCCAGGGTGGACACGCATCTGCGTTTCCTCTTCATCTCTCACATTAGCTGTTCCGTTTAGTCTCGAAACCGCTGTGTCCTAATGAACTGCCGTGACTGTTAGACCGTTTGCTTGTACACAGCACCAATTCTCTAGTTTTATTTAAAATTTTTATTTTACAGAGGCTTTTATGAAGTAAATCTTAGTTTAATTAAGTTTGTCTCTTTTTCGAATCTTACACGAGTATTACCCTGTCCTACAATTATTAGGTCTGTTCCAAAGTGAATATAACTTTTTTAAAAAATTGGTAAAATCCCTGCAAATGTTGTGGGGATATGTCTCGGGTGGTCTAGTTCAGATGGTTTTGATGTGAAAACAAAGAAAGGATGGGCACCTCTTGGGGCCCCATTCCCTCCCCGACCCATCCCAGCCTCGTTCCCCGTCCCCGCGCTCACACCCCGTCTCCACAGGAGGAGAACATCTGTCTGCACTGGGCGGCCTTCTCGGGCTGCGTGGACATCGCTGAGATTCTGCTGGCCGCCAGGTGCGACCTGCATGCCGTGAACATCCACGGGGACTCGCCGCTCCACATAGCCGCCCGGGAGGACCGCTACGCCTGCGTCGTGTGAGTGCCCTGCGGGGCTCCCGCGGTGGGAGCGCCTGCGTGTCCTGGGTCAGAGGTCAGCATGGACATTCCTGGTTCAGGGGGGTTGCTGTGAAAAGACCCCCAGTACTTAGGTCGACCCTGGCCAGTGGGAACAGCCCACTGGGGGAGCCCCGTGGGAGCTGTATCCCCGCAGGGAGGCTGCTGTACTGGTGCTGCCGCCCAGAGCCCTTGGCTGCTGAGGCCTCCGTCCTACGTCACTCACACCTGGGCACGGCCCATTCTCATCAGCAGGACCTGTGTGATCTGTGATCTCAGGTGACCCACCTCACCCAGACATGAGGGGAGGCCCTGTGGTGGGGCTCACTCCCTTGTTGGACCTTGGCAGCAGCTCCGCATAGTGGGCGTGTTGGTGGGAGGCCCTGGGCAGGGAGAGCTCACGGCAGCACCGAGCCGCCCACGTCTGGTTCTGTCCCAGATCAGGCCTGGGGAGCACCCGCCGTGTACACGGCCGAGGGGCTTTATTGCCGCCACCGCTGCCCTCCATCAGGGAGGGGCCTCTTGAGTGGAAACGCCAAGAAAAGCCAGACCCCTCCCAGGGCTTCACACTCGCTTCCTGCAAGAGCAGGGCGTGTGGAGAGGAGTCAGGAGCTGTTCTTGGTGAGTTACGGCCAGTCCTTCCAGAAGCAGCGGTCAGCGAGCTTGTTAATTCCAGAGCGAATGGTGTGTTCTCAGTGTTTTTACCGATTGTAGTCGTTTCTTAAGTCTCCCCTCCTGCCTGTTCCGTGAAGACCTGAGTGTCCTGTTGGCTTACATTTTCCCTTTTAGCCTCTTTCTCTCTCGGGATTCAGATGTCAACTTGAAAAACAAGGAGGGAGAGACGCCCCTGCAGTGTGCGAGTCTCAACTCTCAGGTGTGGAAGGCTCTGCAGATGAGCAAGGCGCTTCGAGACTCTGCCCCAGGCAGGCCAGTCCCCGCAGAGAGGACCGTGAGCAGGTGAGCAGAGCGGACCAGGGCAGCCCCGCCGTGAGTCAGGATGTGTGAGTGGGGGGGCCTGTGACGTCCCTGGGCTCCATGGTGGCCCTGTGGGTTCTGGTCAGTCCCAGGTGGGCGGCACCTGTCACAGCAAAGGTGACGACCCCCTTTCCCGTGGCAGAGACATCGCTCGAGGCTACGAGCGCATCCCCATTCCCTGCGTCAACGCCGTGGACAGCGAGCCCAGCCCCAGCAACTACAAGTACGTGTCTCAGAACTGTGTGACGTCCCCCATGAACATCGACAGGAACATCACCCACCTGCAGGTCAGTGGTGGCCGGGGCCAGGCCTGTCGTCGTGAGGCGGCGGTGGGTCCTTGGTTTTCCCGGGAGGACCTGATGCTCTCGATGGTTGCCTCCCACCGAGAGCTGGAGGCAGATACGGATCCTCCCAGAAAATGCACCTGTGTCCCATGGTGGGGCCCCGGCCCCCAAACAGAGCCAAGCATCCCCCATGAGTGGTGGTCTGGGCTCCACAGAATGAGAGGAGCCCGTGGTGGGAGCTGAGGTCCCCGCCTCCGTGCTGGAGCCTGCAGCCTGTCCTTCCTGCGCAGGCGAGAGTCAGACAGATGCTGTCCCCGTGCCCTCAGGCAGGGCTTGTGCTCCAGCCTGTCCTTCCCCGCCTGCCCCTCCCACAGCCTCAGCTGCTGATAGCTGGGCATCCTCCTGCCCATCCACCCTCCTTCCCAAGAGCCTGTACACCCCTTGGTGCCCCTGAGAACTGAGCCTTGAGGTTATGTCCCCCACTCCACAAGTGGCTTTCGGAAGGCACATGGAGACTAGAGCCAGCCTGAGTTTGTAGAAGGTGGCTGTGGGCGAGGGGTGGGGGCGCCCTGTGTGTGACCATGTGTCCCTCCCACTCCCCGCAGTACTGCGTCTGCATCGACGACTGCTCCTCCAGCAACTGCATGTGTGGCCAGCTCAGCATGCGTTGCTGGTACGACAAGGTGAGCACTGCCCGGTGCGTGGTAAGTCGCTGTCGGCTGGCGGCACGCAGCATCCCTTGTTCAAGGCTGTTCAGGCCCGGCTCTGGGAAGGAGCCGGTGCATGCGTGGCAGGTGTGGAAAGCTATCGGGCAGGAGCAGCAGGTGGGAAGAGTCAGGGCCGTGGGGATGGAGCCAGTGTCCTTAGTGCACCAAGGAGGTGGGGTGACCACAGGCTTGGGAGTGACAGTTGCTGAGCAGAGGGCAAAAGTGGCCCTTGGTGAGCCTGGCCTCGAGGCAGCAGAGCAGACAAGAGAGACAGCCCCAGAGGCCCATGTCCGTATCAGAACCCTGAATGTCCTTGGGTTTGGGGGTTCAGAGGTCAATGGTGGGGGCAGGAGCTGGGGATCTGAGTGCAGAGGAGACACAGGCTGCAAGTGGGCTCAGTTAGGCGATTCTGTCCAGAGTCCACTTCAGAGGAGGGGCGCTCGGGTGTCAGGACAGTGCTGTCGTGGCTGCGTGTTGGCTGCGCAGCGGAGGCTGCAGCTTTGCTGGCGGGCTCACATCTAGTCACGTGTGCTGTGCAGGGCAGGCCTTCTGAGAGGGGTGACACCGAGCGCTCTGAGGAAACTGACTGTTCAGAGCAGCCTCCGGAGCTCTTAGGGCCTCAGACGTGGCACGTTTCGACGCTGGTGCATCGCCAGTGGCTTTGCTGCCCCGGGGTGTCAGGCAGGAGAGCAGGTGGCGGGGTAGCATGGCTGAGGGCTCAGTGGCTGGAGTCCAGGGGGCGATACCAGGAAGCAGAGGGTGCAGGGGTGGAGAGGGGAGGGGCCCCCGTCGGCCAGGCAGTGCTGTCCAGGCTTCTGCCACCTGCTCCCCTGGGGAAAGTCTGACTAGAAACCACTGGTTTGGGTCAGTTCTGTGTAGAAATGTGTTGGTGCCAAGTACGTCTGTCTGGATTAGGAGCACACTGTGTCTTGACCCTGCATCTGTCCCCAGGATGGGCGGCTGCTGCCAGAGTTCAACATGGCGGAGCCGCCCCTGCTGTTCGAGTGCAACCACGCCTGCGCCTGCTGGAGGACCTGCCGCAACCGCGTCGTGCAGAACGGCCTCCGGTGAGGGCCCCGCCCCCGTGCACGCGGATCCCAAGCCCTCAGGACAGGTGGTGTCAGGCTGCACTGACGTCCGAGAGCTGCTGGAGGCACATCCTTGTGCCTTGACTCTAGGATGTGTTTAGGGCAAGCATGTGTTTGCACGCACTGTGGGGACTTATTAGGAGCCCTTGTCTTCCGCCAAGGTCCCAAGTTGCCATAAGTAACAAGTCTCCCTTCCTTCAGCCTCAGACATGGCTCTGAGGCCAAGAGAACCAGACCGTTTTAGCCAAAAGAGCCAAAAGCAGCGAAACAGGCCTGGTCTACACGCTCACACTCAGCCATTAGGGCTGCAGTCGTCTCCCAAGCACCCTGTGCTCCCAAGTGTCTGGCGCAGGCCTCCCAAATGGCATGGATCCCTTGTCCCTGAGTCACACACAGCACTTGGCCCGGGGGTCCTGGCCGTGCTCGGGTCCTTTTCTCCAGCATCCCCTGACCACCCGGGGCCAGACTTCCCTCCTGAGTGCCCGAGGGTTGAAGACCTGGCCCCTCTGGGTCGTGAGAGACAGTTTATGCAGTCAGCCCAGCTGAGCACTGATTCCCATAGCGTGTGATCCTCAGTGTCGGTGACCTCATGGGCTCGTTACCAGCCCACGTGTCTGTTGTCCTCACGTGGGGTAGAAAGTCCTTTGTGTGTCTCCCACCAGGACCACTGGACATGCACCTGGGCAGGTGGGAGGCCCATGGCTCTTGGGCCTGGGAATGTCCCCACACCTAACCCACTGCCCAGCTGATCTGCGTCACAGCCTGAGGTCAGCAGCAGCGTTAGCCCCTCTGGTCCTCATTGCAACCCAGGGGCTCAGCCCATGTGACAAATGAGGAAACGGACAGAGAGGGCCAGGGTTGTGGACAGCGGGCGCTGGGTCACTCTGGGAGCCACTCCTTTGCGTGTGAAATCCTGCAGCATTGTCAAAGGGGACTCCTGTGTGGAATCCAGCATCCTGGCCACGGCCCTGAGTACAGACCCTATTTTTCAGGGCAAGGCTGCAACTCTACCGCACACAGAATATGGGCTGGGGCGTGCGGACCCTGCAGGACATCCCTGTGGGCACCTTCGTCTGCGAGTAAGTGAGCCAGTGCCTGAGTCGGCTGCTGCTGCTGCTGCATCTACGGTTAGGGAAGCAGGCGCGGTGTGGGGTCAGGCTCGGAGTGCACCGGCCCACCTGGGCCCAGGCACAGCAGGGAGGGCTGCCCTGAGCACCAGAACCCCTGTTCTCTCCCTGTACTTCCCCTCCCACCTGTGTCTGAGAGGCCATGCTGTCCACACAGAGGGACGTCCAGGGAGGGTCTTTCAGCTCCCGTTCAGGTAGAGGGTTTCCTTGTCACCATCTTCTGCAGCCAGTTAGATCCTGGTCAGTCACACGCAGGTTCTCCCCTTGCTCTGTAGTTGCGGGGGTTGGAGGTTGGGGGGTGACGTGTTCCTCTCCCCCAGGTACGTTGGCGAGCTCATCTCGGACTCGGAGGCTGACGTTCGGGAAGAGGACTCTTACCTCTTTGATCTTGACAACAAGGTAACGTACTCTCCGGGGCCAGGTGCACAGAGCTGATGGTGAATGTACAACGTGGACGGGTCTGTCCTGTGAGCCCCTCCCCACAGCAGCTCCCACCATCCCCTCTGGCCTCCCCTGCTCAGGGCTCAGACAGCATCTTCTCTGGGACCCCTGACCTGGGAAAGTGTGAGCCCTGCCCTCTAAACCCCAGCCTGTCATCCCTGGGGACAGCCCACGGCCGGCACATGTACTGGGAGAGGGTGGCCCTGTGTACAGCGACCCACACAGCAGTAGCGAACCTTGGAAGAGGGGTAAAGCGTGAGGGGCACAGGTGGACAGGGGTGTGTGTGTGCGTGTGTGCGTGTCCTGGTTGCCTTCTCGGAAGCTGGGAGAGGAGCTGGCCCTACCTGACGTCCAGTCCAGCTGCAGGTATTCAGGTGCTTCCGAGGCCCCCACACACCACCCTTCCCTCCCTGGTCCAGAGAACTTCCTAGGCTCCCGTCACTGCCAGTGGGCGCAGAACTTGGCAGAGCTGGGAAGTGGGATTCTCTGCTCAGGAGTCACCCCGTCAGGGCAAAGTCAGCCCCCCTGTCAGTGTTTGTGAGACGAGCCGCCCACACCAGGCTCCGTGCACCCCAGGATGGCCGAGCCACAGCTGTGCCGTGTGTGTGCATCGGCCACAGGAGGCCTCTTCCGTGAGCTGCCTGCTCCGTGTCTGGCCTGTCCGCTTCTCAGTGGTTGGTCTTTAGTGGGTCTTTGCATTTCCAGGTAAACATTCGTGACATCAGTGTTTGGCAAGTGTCATCCTCAGTGGCTTCTCTACCCCTAGGGAGGTCGTCTTTTCTTTTTTTTATTTAAATATGTTTTACTGATTTCAGAGAGAGGAAGGGAGAGGGGGAGAGAGAGAAACATCAGTGATGAGAGTCATTGATCAGCTGCCTCCTGCACGCCCCCTACTGGGGACCGAGGAGCCTGCATCCCAGGCATGTGCCCTGACCAGGAATCGAACCTCCATCTGGATCCTAGGTCGATGCTCGACCGCTGAGCCACGCCGGCCGGCCAAGGGACACCTTCTCGCAGGGTCCTCACCGTCTGATTGGTCGCTCCTCCCCCCATCCCTGTGGGTTTTACAGCTGAGCGAGGTTTGTAGCCCAGGTCAGAGGTTCACCATGGCACTGTGTCCGGAAGTTGCCCTTGGCCCTCGCATTTTGGGTCGTCACCTGTTGGGTAGGTCAGCTTCTTTCTTTCCCATGCTGACGTCTGCTGGACTCAGCTCCAAAGGTTGGAAAGAGTGTCCCTTCCCTGGCGCTCAGCAGTGTTTCCGTGTGGGCTGGGTTCCTGGCCCCCCTGTGGTTGTCCGGGTCTTATCCCCTCACTCTGGGCTCTTGCCAGGCCTCTCTCTTCTTGGTCTCTGGCAGTTTCTGTTTCTGTTAAGTTTTTTAAACCAGCTTAATGGATTCTACAAACTCCCTTAGGGGTTTGGTTGGGACGGTGTTGAACCCACAAACCGAGTGGGGCCTCTGAGGTGACACCTTCTATTATAGTTCAAGGACTTGTCTAAGTCTTCACCCTCAAGGCTGTTTAGGGTTTTCTGTGGTGTGGTCTGGTATACCTTCTATTGGGTTTTTTATTTTAAAGTTTTTTATTAATTTTTGGGGAGAGAGAGAGAAACATCGATGAGAGAGAAACGTTGATTGGTCGCCTGCGGGGGGCCCCCCCCTCCGCAGGGATTGAGCCTGTAGCCTGGGCGTGTGCCCTGACCTTTGGTGCACAGGACAACGGCTTATCCAACTGAGCCACACCAGCCAGGGCTCAATATTTTTTTTATTATTCAATAAGTTTTTGACTTTTTTCTTTCTGGGTCAACTTTATCATGATTAATTTTTAAGTGTCTGGTGTTTTGACAAATGTCTATGCCAGTTTAGCCACCACCACAAGCAAGGTAACGGGACATTTCCACAGCCTGCTTCCCTGTGCCTGTCACCCAACCCGTCAGCCGCAGAGCTGCTCTGTCTCACAGGTGTTTTCCATGCGTGAGTTTCCTGTGGTGGCATCAGAGCCCTCGCCCAGCGGCTGCGTGTCTGGCTGGGCGTCACCACGGATGGCCGAGCGGGTGGCACCCTCATAGGCAGAGGGACCTGGGTGCTTCCAGTTTCCACAAGATGCGTAAACCTGCTTGGGACTTTGTAGACTGTGTTTGGGTGTGAGTTTTCATTCCTCTGGGGCGACTTCCTGGGAGGGGAGCGTGCAGCTCCCTGTGGCTGTGGATGCATTGTTGCTTCACCGGCTCGCTGGCCTCCCTGCACCATCTTTCCTGAAGAAACTCGACAAGTTCCTGCCTGTCGCCAAACGGGGCAGCATGTTCCTGCTGAGCTGTAGGCGCCCGTCACGATCCTGGTCCTGCGTGAGCGTCAGCTTCTGCCCGGCCCCCTCGGCTGCTTCTCAGTGACGTCCGGCCGAGAATAGAAAAGTGTTTTTAGTGTCTGCTGCCTTCTGTCGCTGCTGGGCTGGGGAGGTTTCTCCTTTCTTTGGGGTTTTACATTTAGATCTGTGGTTCGCATTGACTCAGGTCGCGTGGGTTGCGGGGAGACTCGAGGTTCCTTGGGCCCAGGAGGACATGTGGCTCTGGCCAGGGTCCACTCACACCACCGGAAGCAGTTCTGCGTTAGGCCATATTTCCTGCCTTTGACCTGATGCTGAGCCTCAAACCTGGCCACTCGCTCCCAATCGCTGTCGATTCGGGTAAATCTTGGACCCAGGTGGGGGTCAGTCCTCAGACCCTGCTTCTTTTGCAAAGTTGGTGGTTTGGACACTGACCTTGCTGAGTCTACGTGTTAATTCCAGTGGCTTTTTGAAGATTCTGCAGTGTGTTCTGCACACGGGCTGCCGTGTGGGAGGGAAGACAGTTCGGTTCCCGTTCCCAGCCTGCATCCACTCTCGCCCTTGCCCCACTCCAGTCCCGGAGGAGCCTGCCCCTGTGTGGTGGAGCTCGGCCGTGTGCAGGGCTCATGCTCTCTGCAGTGTGTGTACCTTTAACTCTCTGAGTCAGGTTTATCGAGCATAATTTACACACAGTGAAGCCACCCCCTTTCTGCACAGCTCTCCTGCTTTTCATGGTGTCTCGTCAGCACTGTTGCTATAGGACAGGTCAGCACCAGCTGCATGGCCGTGCCCATCAGGGAACAGAGCCGGGGGTATGTCGCTGGCTAGGTCCTTTAGGGACCGTGGACCTGGGAGCCTCGGCCTCACAGGGCGGCTGTCAGAGCTCAGTTCTTGGCTGTAGGACTGAGGGCCGCTTGTACCGGTGCCAGCTGGGCCCTGTTAACTCCCAGGACCTCACAGTTCTTGCTGCTACCAGCACAGGAGCTCATCCGTGTCCCCAAGGCCAGCAGGGGCATCTCTGGGTCACAGCCTGACACCCTGTGACACCATGTGACATACATGGGTGACACCTCAGCCTTCCCCACGCTGTCGGGGAGAAGCAGTCACAGTTTTTCCCAGACGCACCGGGAGGGGCCCACAAGGGTGAAGCTGAGTCGGCTTTGAATTCTGTGTATGGAGCGCTCCCTGCCCCACCGTCCCCGTCACGGCTGCCCCACCTCTTTCTCTCCCGATAGGTTTTCCTTTTCCAGTGTTGTGTAGGTGGAATCACGGCGTTCACTCTTGTGTGGCCCCTTCCTTGGCGTAGTGAACCTGCTGAGCGCCCCTGTACTGGGCCGTGTGTGTGACCATCCTTGCTCAGTCCATTCTTTTGTGTGGACGTCCGCAGTTTGCTCATCCGTCCAGGGCTGGGGGCACTTGGGCTGCTCCGTCACTGGGCATCAGTAAAGCTGCTGGAGCCTCCGCGTGAGCATTGCTGGCATGTGTCCCTGCATCACTGGGCATGTGTTTTATGGGAACCGTGCCCTGCGTCCGGTTGGTTCGGGGAGCAGCAGCCCAGTGCGAGCGGCTCCGTACCTCCACCTCTCACAGTGGTGTTTTTCTCTCTGGAAGGATGGATAGAAATCAGTTAGGTTTTTATGCTCACTTTTAACCTGTGACCTGCTGAACTCACTGACTTGATGTCGGCCTTTACTGGGACTCTGTTAGTTCCCATCACCTGGCTGCCTGCGTCTGACTCGGGGACGCTCATGGGGGTGCTGGCACCCAGCTCCCCAGGGGTTTCGTGACTGAAGTTGTGTTGTCAGTGTCTCTGGCTCTGGGGAAGGAAGGGACCCTGTTTGCCAGGGTGCCCTTAGAGAGGAGCATTGGCTCGTGGGCGATGCAAGCATTTCCCCGATGGGTCGGGCCGTGTTGTTCACGAGCCGGGTGTGAGTGTACGCTCTGCCTCCTTGGTGTGGCTTCTGACCTGGTCTGTCGTGTCGTCCTTCCTGCATCTTCTCTCCCGACTCAGGCTCAGGCAGAGCTTCATGGGCACCGAGTCCCAAGCTCCCAGCCGCTCTGTCCAGATTCCACACATGAGGGTCTCCCAGGGCCCCGGTCCTGCGCTCGGTCCAGACATGGGGCTGCTCCCTCGTCTGGCCAAGCTCCCTCCAGGGCCTCTGGTCCGACTCCATGTGGTTTCCAGCCTGCAAGCTGCTTCCCGCAGGCCTCGCCCATCACACTCAGGGCAGAGTCTGAGCCACGGGGTTGTTCTGTACTCTGGCATGTCTTTGAGATTCTCTGAGAAGCAGGTTCTGGGCTAGGGCCTGTGTCTGGGTGTGGCAGGGATGGCCACCCCTGTCCAGGCTTCACCCTCTGTCCGCTCACTTTAACTTACCTCCGTGTGCCGGGCTGTGGGGGAGCCTGCCTGCAGCCCTCGGGGTGGGGCGTAGGACTCAGCTTCCCACCACCCCTCTTGGCCCTCTGACATCAGGTTAGCAGCAGCTTCTCACAGCCTGCATCTTTCCAGAGAAAAGCCTGGGTAAGGGCCCATGTGGTGTGTGCAGGCCTTTCGTCTGCCTTCCTCACAGTTGGCTCTGTCCCTTCAATGGGAGGAATGCTGGACACAGGGATCCTGATTCTTGGTCGCTTGTAACCACACTCTGATGTCCAAGGCCACCAGCCCTTGATCCAAGCACAGCTTCCCTCCCGTCCCCCGGCCCAGCCCACACCAGGCGTGGGCAGTGTCCTTCGCGGTGCTGTGCCCAGCCCCCAGCCGCAGCACGCTGCTGTCCCCACAGGACGGGGAGCTGTACTGCATCGACGCCCGGTTCTACGGGAACGTCAGCCGCTTCATCAACCACCACTGCGAGCCCAACCTGGTGCCCGTGCGCGTGTTCATGTCCCACCAGGACCTGCGCTTCCCCAGGATCGCCTTCTTCAGCACCCGCCTGATCGAGGCGGGGGAGCAGCTGGGGTAGGTGGCTGCGGCCCACTATGTTGCGGCTCCTCTTGGGCCCTGAAACCCTGACCGGGGACACAGCTGAAATGGCTGAGCTCCTGGCTCCCTCTCCCTGCAGCCTCAGCTCTGCTCTCTCCCCAGGTTCGACTATGGGCAGCGCTTCTGGGACATCAAAGGCAAGCTGTTCAGCTGCCGCTGCGGGTCTCCCAAGTGCCGGCACTCCAGCTCCGCCCTGGCCCAGCGGCAGGCCAGCGCCCAGGAGGCCCCAGAGGACGGCTTGCCCGACACCAGCTCTTGCAGCACCGACTCCTGATGAGACATCTGGTCCTGTTCACACTGCAGTTTAGGGAGGAAGGGAAAGTGCTCGTGGCGGTGAGGGCCTCGCCGGGTGGAGGGGCCGAGCCAGGGCTGCGCAGGGAGCGGCCGCTCTACACGCTCTGGATTCACGCTGGCACAACCGTGTGAGTTTCTGACCGGTTTTGCCGTTTCCACGTTTCTCGTTTCCCCTCTGTTCCCCGTGGTCCCATCCCACCTGTGGGCAGGTGGGCAACGTCCTGTCAGCCCAGACTCCTCTGTGTGGCACCTGCCGAAGCCATCGTCACCCACAAGCTGCTCCGTCAGACCCACCCACTCGCGGTCCCAGTTGCTGCACAGACACCGTCCCCACCGCCATCGGAGAGCGATCGGGCCAAGCTGCCATGGACTTCGGAGAAAATGTGTTTGCTTTTTAAAGAAACCCTGAACCTGGTCCCATGTCCGACCTCCGCACGCCGCTAACCAGGAGGCGGCCAGTGGGTGCCGGAGCCCGACCCAAGGACACCGCACAGCCTGGCAGGGCTGAGACGCTGGCCCTTCTGTCGGTTTTTTAGCCACATGCTATGATGATGGATAAACTGATTTATTTTCTACCATTACCGAACATTAGGACAAAAACAAAACAACAGACAACGGTGCTGATTCTGGTGCGGTCTCCCCACCACGTGAAGTAAATATCAACTGTACAAAGAACAAAGTGACTTAGGGTATCGCAGGAACACTTTTTTAAAGCGTTAGTCTTGTAGCGTGAATAAATTCGCCCCTGCCTTTTGTGTGGGGGCCTGCAGGTCATACCTTTTTTTTGGCATATACTTTTCTAAATACTGTAACTAGTGCAGTAACCGTGGGGTTTTTTTGTGCAACTTCTAAAACATTCATAATGCAGTCATGTTTATTTTTTTCTGTTAAAATGTTTTTGACAGTTTTAAGAGCAGTCTTTTGGCTCAGACCATTTCTTGTTCTGTTTTCAATGAAATCAATAAAAAAAAAGAATTTAAGTGAGGTTTTTGTTATGATGCCCTGTTCCAGCTGGCTTCTCAGGACACTGCACTTCTACGGGGCCGATGCTCACGGCTGCACCGCCCGGGCAGACATCCAGAAGCCCGTGTGCAGGCCTGTGTGCCTGAGTTTGTACGTGTGTGTCTGTGTGTCCAGCGCAGGCACTGAGGCCCAGGCGTCATCGGGATCGATGGAAGCACCAGGTAAGTCCCAGAATCAGAATCAGATCTGCTTGAATGCAGTGTGGCTACGGGAGCCTCTCCTGCCGTGACCACCACCCTGTGTGAGAGTCCACACCTCCGTGTCTCCGTGTCCTCATGCAAGAGTCCACGCCTCCGTGTCTCCGTGTCCCCATGCGGGAGTCCACGCCTCCGTGTCTCCATGTCCCCATGCAAGAGTCCACGCCTCTGTGTCTCCGTGTCCCCGTGCGGGAGTCCACGCCTCCGTGTCTCCGTGTCCCCGTGCGGGAGTCCACGCCTCCGTGTCCCCGTCCCCGTGCGGGAGTCCACACCTCCGTGTCCCCTGTCCCCATGCGGGAGTCCACGCCTCCGTGTCCCCTGTCCCCGTGCAGGGCTGTCCTCATCCACTGGCAGCCTGTGAGCTCAACAGGAAGCAGCTCGAATGCTCATCACACGTCACTCAGGACTTTGCAGACATGACACAGCTGGTAGCAGCTGTGCTGACCTGGCGAACAGCCTGCGCAGGGCCTCCCCTCTGTCCCTCGGTCACAGGTCACCCCAGGCAGGCGGCCCAGGCCCAGTGTGCGGGAGCATCCGTGACTGCGTGGACGGGTGTGATGGGTCCAGAGGTGATCCCCTGGACCCAAGTCCAGTGCAGACCTCCAGGGTGTTGAGGTGGCAGGCCAGGTGAGGGGACCCCCAACTAGGTGTCATCACATCAAGTTACGACCATTTTAAACAAGACCCTAGGGTTTGGCCTTGAAGAACCTGACAGCTGCCCGGGGCTCCCGTGTGTCTGAGCTGGTCCTGGAGGGCTCAGTGGCGATCACCTGAGTGCCTGCCGTGAACCATCCTAAACTACTCTGTGGGTGGGGCGCTGGGGGAGAATCCTCAAGGGGTCTCTACTCCAACAGGGCACTTGCATTGGGTGCACACAACCAGGGGTCACCTCTGGGGGGCAGGGCAGGTGAGACCCGCTCTGACGGGCCTCCCATGGGGTAGCTCCTGGACTTGCCTGGAATGTGGGCAGGGTCCGGGGTTGCCGTTGTTTTCTGTACAGGTCACACCTTTTGTGGCCTGAAATGTAAACAACACATAAGAACTGGGAGAAAAGCACAAAACCACCACGAACGCCCCTGGACCCTGCCCGCTGGGGGTTCATACACCTCCCAGACCAAGGCTATTTCCTGACTGATGACAGGAGCACGTCCCCGAAAACAGGCTCACACAGCCTCAAGTGCACCCTTGGGCGACTGTAGCTCAGTCCCTGCAATGTGCACGCGGTGTCCACTTCCCGCTGGTAGCGCCACATGCAGGGAGGACCCACAGCTGGCCTCCGGGAGGGGCCTGAGCTGGGCACGTAGGTGCTCTTGGGATTCCATTACGAAAACCCCACCCATCCAGGACCCATTCTCGCCTCCACCAGCAACACACATTCCCCATGTCCCGCATTGAGCATTATGCTCAATACTTTCTCTGTGTATCGAAAAATGATGCCTCACTGTATTTTCACATTGATTTTTAGAGAGAGAGAAACATGGGTTTGTTGTTCCACCCACTCATTGCTCGACTCTTGTCTGGGCCCCGACCGGGGATTTATTCTGCTGTGTTCTCTGGGCTTCCTGGATCTGTGGCCTGGTGTCTCATTAATTTTGGAAAATTCTCAGTCGCCATCACTTCAGCGTTTCCTTCTACTGGGCTCTCTCACGTCCCCTTGGGTTCCGATTACGCGGGTGTCCCACCTTCATCGAGCTTCTGATTCTTCTCTTGGCCACGTCGTTTCGGCTGACAAGCCCAACAAGAGACGATCTTCGTTTCTGTTACGGCGGCGCTTCAATTTCTAGCCTCTCCTTTCGATTCTTTCTTAGTGTTTCCATCTCTCTCCTTACATTGCCTATCTGTCCTTTTTTTTATTTTTTAAATATGTCTGTATTGATGTCAGAGAGAGAGAAACATCAATGATGAGAGAGTCCTTGATTGGCTGCCTCCTGCACGCCCCCGACTTGGGATCGAGCCCACAACCCAGGCATGTGCCCTGACCAGTAATCGAACCCCGATCACCTGGATCCTAGGTGGATGCTCAGCGGCTGAGCCATGCCGGCCGGGCTGTATGTAAGAGTATTTTCCAATATTGCCGGCNGACAGGGTTGAATCATAAATGAGCATTTATTCCAGTATTGCCAGCAAATTGGGAGAGCAATAATGTTCATCCATGAAAATCTGCTCTGCTGCCCCCACCCCCCCAAGCCAGCTGCCTATATTGGGTAGAAGGACAAAGATTACATGGGGAAATGGGCAAAGGGGAAAAAATGGGTAAAATGGTTACAGGTTACAGGCGACGTGGGACTCTGTTTTTCGACAACAAGGTTGTTAATCTCTCCGTGGTGATGGGCAGTTTTCAGGTAAGGACAAGGGACTGTGTTCCGAGGTTAAGTCCCAGGTCCCGGGGCGCAAAACTCCCAGCCAGGTGAGAATGTGCTTCTTTAATCAGAACGAAACAGTCACGGTGAACAGAGCACGATTAATATCTGTTGTAACTACAGCGAGTCCCCACTCTTCTATTTCTCCCTCCGCCCTTCCTGCGATGACGTCCAGTCTTCACATGTCACCCCCGAAGCTGTGCAATGACCCTTAAAAGAAATTAGGATTTGAGAGGAGAGGTGTTCTATATATATATAT